GGACGGCTCCTGGAAGTCGGGGTCATCCTGAAGGAGGGTCGTCCTGAAGGAGGGTCGTCCTGAAGGAGGGTCGTCCTGAAGGAGGATCATCCTGAAGGAGGGTTTTCTGCAGAAGTTCCCCCCATGAGGTTTGGGCCGAGCTGATGACCGCTGTTTGTTCTGAGGCACCGCCCCTTTCAGGATGTCAGCCAATCAGCTGTGAGGATCTCGTGTTTGGGTCGTCACCTCGGCCGTCTGAAACATGGCAGCCATACTAGCCCACAGCATTTTGGTTTTATGATTCTCATGCTTGTTCCTTTGTCCATCTTCGTGACCGTCGGCCTTGTGGCCATCTTCTTGGCGACATTGTCATTGTGGTCTTTGTCTTCAGGACCATGTTGTCCTTATGACGTCCATCTTTCCGACTCGAGTCATCACAACCTTCATCTTCATGACGTTTATCTTTACGGCTTTCATTCTTATTCCTTCTCTTGATGGTCTCATGTCTACATTGCAGAGGTAGGCAGGAAGTTGGAGTTACGTCTCGAACTGAACGGACTTTGAGTCAGAGACGCTGAGACTAGAGGTCGTCTGTCCCAGACATTATGGAGGAACTGCTTCGGTAAACCGTCTTTAGCTTATTTGGGGAAAGTTTTCAAACAAACCAAACCTCCCAACATGTTTCACATCCATGATCATATATTTGGTCTTCAGGATGGTTCTCTCTGCAGGTTTTGTCCTCTTCAGAACCAGGAGCGCCCCCCTGTGGACCGGAGCTGTACTGTTCAGACCCAACAACATGAACCAGAATGAATGAAGCACAATGACCCCTGAACGCCTCACAGACCGCCTCAACGAGTCGCTGACGGTTTGACGCCACAACATCCAGAACTTTCTGTGAAACCAGAGGAGGTTCTGATCCGCTCGGACCTGGTTTCACGCCGGTCCAGACGCTGCTGTGATCAAACTACAGCGACGCACTGAGAGCCCAGAACCCTCCTCCCCCCGTCTGGTGGTCCAAAGCACACGAGGACTGATGGGACATGCGGCGGAGGTGGACGACACCAACAGCCCCTCCCACTAACAGCAGAGTCCGGTTCTTACCTGGCCGTCATGGCGGGGGGACAGCTTGGCCTGCGCCAAGGTGTGCAGGATTTCGTTAAGGAGGGGGGACTCCTACGGAGGTCAGAGGTCGTTAACAGTCAGAGGAAACAGGAGACAGAGAGAGAGAGAGAGCATTCAATGACAACAACAAGAGCAGAGTGGGTCAGAACCTCGAGCCAGATCTAGAGCTGAAGCGATTCCTGGAGTGGTTCGAGTCCCTCGAAGCTTCGTTAGTTTATGTTTTATCATTTAGCGCGCCGTGTTCCGGCCGGAACATTATTTGCGTTGCGCGGAGCTCCGACTTCCGCCTGAGTTGTTGATGAAAGCTAAGTGTTAGCGTCATAATGTCCAATCTTCCAGTTCGGCCCGCGGGGATTTTACTGATTGGTGATAATTTTGGGTTTTCATCGTTTTTGGGAACCAATAAACATCCTTAAAATGACCGGAGCGATCCGGGAGTCCGGCAGCCTTTCTGCTCCGGAGCTGCTGGTTCAGAGCTGAGGAGGATTTCTACAGGTAGAGGCTGAACACGGCGGGCGGCTGATGCTGACCGTGGAAGAGCAGCTTTAGGACGAACCGACGATACATTTACATCATCCCGGTCTGAACCAACGGGAGGCGGAACATGGCTGGTAGAGGAGGAGCCGTAAATATCCCGTTTTGCCCCCCCGGTCTTACTTCGCCTGCCCTCCAACCCCAAACCCCCCAATCCAGGCCACATTTCCCGTATTGTCGGGTTTGGGGCAAGGTCAGAGTTCATCTGTGAAACTCACTGAAGATGAAGCACAGACATTTTTCATAAGAGTATTTGTGAGCCTGGTTCTTTATTATTATAATTTCAGATTTTTGTACAACTTTTTTCAGGTTAACTTAGAGAGTGAGAGGTTAAGGTAACACTTTATTTGAAGGGGTTTGCATAAGACTGACATGACACTGTCATAAACATGATATAACACCTGTCATAAACATAAACAAGTCTTTATCAATGTTTATGACAGTTGTCATGAAGTGTCATTCGGTAAATAATGACACTTTAATGCAAAGTTGCTCTAAAAGTCCATTAAAAGTGCCAATTTTTCATGATTTTGTAAATTATGATAATTTAATGCAAAGTTGGCATTTTAATGGACTTTTAAAGCAGCTTTGTATTAAAAGTGTCATTATTTACCAAATCAGACTTCGTTATGTTTCTGACAGCGTCATGTCAGTCGTATGCGAACCCCTTCAGATAAAGTGTTACCCAGGTTAATTTTCTAAACTACTAAAAAGTAACTTAGGGAAACGCAAATACAAAAAAGGACTGATATTGATATCTGATGGTAACACTGCTGTTATGCAAGATTTACCAATATTTTATTTAATAATTTTTTATCCAATTACTCGATTAATCGTAAGAATAATCGATAGGTTACTCAGCTACTAAAATACTCGTTTACAACAGCCGGGCCAGAACCTCCAGGCTGGACCTGAGGAGACGGACATCAGATCAGCTTTACCTTCGTCCTTCTTCTCAACCATCACCTCCATTTTCATTCAACACCCAGACTGGTTCCGTTCGGAGTCAGTTAGCGTCCAGAACCTTCCAGAACCGAATTGGAGGAGGCGGAAACAGCAGCAGAACCGCCATCAGGTCCAGACTTACATCTCCTCCTACTTTCACCTCTGAGCTGTGGCTGTTCTAAACCGTTTTACTGTCGGCCCGTTTACAGCCGGGTCACACTGATACCGGTTCACAGGTTCTGGTTCCCCGGGTTCCCACCTACCCGCCGGGTACCGCGGAGAACCCAGCGGAGGACCGCTGGGGTCTCCCGATCAGGAATCTGTTCAAAATAAAGAATCTGTTCGGATTCGTAACTATGATCAAAATGAAGAGTCTGTTCAGAGTTGATCAAAAGGAATCAGTTCAGAGTCAGGAATCTGTTCAAAATAAAAAAAATCTGTTAAAAACAAAAAGGTTTATAGGGTTAGGTGTTCAAGAATAAATTGTTCAGAGTCGGGATTCTAATCAATTTGAATCTGTTCAGTCAGGAATCTGTTCAAAATTAAGAATCTGTTCAGTTCATAAATATTTCAGAAATGGGAATGTGTTCAAATGAACGATTCTGCTGTGGGTTGGGAATCAGTTCAGATTCAGAAAACTGACTGATCTGAATGTTCAGGTAGAAGAACTGAACGGAACTGAAGAAGCGAATCTCTGAATTACTTCCAGAACCCTAAAGAACTGTTCACCAGACCACCAAAAGACCCGGATCGGAACATCGGCCAGATGAATCAGAACCTCCAGCTGTGACGATTCAGACTCTCAGTGAGAAGAAAAACCTCCAGTCAAAAATCTCACCAGTGTCTTTAAATAACTCCCAGTTTTCCCAGTTTTCCCAATACTCCCAGAACTCCCAGGCCTCCTGTACACGCAGGACCAGAACAGTTTCCCTCAGAACCAGACTGGACCGGTTCTGAGGCATCAATCTGAGCCTCCTCCTGCAGACAGCAGCTGTCGGTTCTGCTGCGTTCCTCAGACGTCCGACCCAACAGAACCACAGAGACCCGGTCGCATGGCGTCCTTTGCCAGATTACCCATAATCCCAGAAAATCATGTAAACATGGGATTATGTGACTGGAAGAACCCGGCTAGCCGCTTCGCTGGTTCTGATGGTCGGGTTCCAGTCGGACCGCCTGTTTACAGACAGGAGCTGCTGCCACTCATCCTGTTCACCAGAACCAGAACCACAGCAGGTCCGATCTGCTCAAATCAACAGGAAGTGACCCGGTTCTGAGCCTCAGAACCAGCAGATGGAGGGGAACCGGGCCGGACCCGGTGGTTCTGTGTGTTCCTGTCACTTTAAACAGAACCAGGAGCATCAAACATGGACCCGGCTCCCCGCGGAGCGGCCGCTCGGCGCCGGTCCAGTTCTATTTAAACTCCTCTGATCTATTTTTACTGCAGCTATTTTTGTGGCGGCAGGACGGGTCCGTTCGGCTCCCAGCAAAAGACAAGCGGCGGCGGCGCCGGTTCTGGCCCGGTTCCTACCTCGATGCTGGTGCTAAGGCTGGGCAGCGTCTCGGAGGTTCCGGTCGGGCTCTGCAGGCTGGACAGGTCCCACAGGTGGAGCGGCACGCCCGGCTCCGCCCCCCGGGAAGACTCCGCCCACCGCTGGCTGTCCAGTAAGGTCACTTCGTAAAATTCCTGGATATCTGTGAGGACAGGAGAGTCCATCAGAACCGGAACCGGGTCAGAGGTTCTGCTGAACCCAGATTGTTTTAATGATGTTCTGATGTTAACAGGAAAGGTTTATCACAAACGACAGAAACCAGAGAGGAACGACACTGAAGAACTAAACGTTCAACAGGAAACAGCCGAGGAACTAAACTACGGTAAAAATAATAATTAATACTAATAATAACAATAAAATGATAATCTGGAGCAGCTTCATGTTTATAAGCCTGAAATAAATCATTAAATTTTATGCAATTTATTAGTTTGTCAGCGTTTAACATGTTATTTTTCTCTGCTCCTGCACAGTTTCCTTGGTAACATTCCTTGGTTTTCCAGACTCAACTTCCCAGAGTTCCTGGCTTTTATGTTCAGCTTGAAATATTATCAAAACTAAAACATATTTACTGGGAGTTTATGGAGAATATTTCTACTGGAAACAGAGATCCTCTAGAGATCCACTAGAGATCCACTGTCATTCTGACAGAAAGAAACATTTTGATTTCAACACGTTTATTTTTAATATGCTTTATGCCATCAGAGTATTAAACCGAAGAATCATTCACATTTACAGAGTAAAAACTAACCACAGAACAAAACATAGTTAAAACATAAACAGAGAAAAACTCAGTCAGGTTATCAGTCAATGAAAAAAAAAACTGCTTTTATTCTATATTTAACCACCAAAGTGAACATTCATGCCTCAACTTTTCCCCTGAAATATTATTTATCTCATTTCTTCTACTAATATAAACAGAAACAAGAACTGGGAGAGTAAAGGACAGAAGGAACAGGAAGGTCGACCTGAAACTTTACACAAGTTTGATTTTTCATCTTCAGGATTAGAAACATTTAATGGCCTTTTACCTCCTGAGCTGACATGAATAACCTTTAGCCCCGCCTACCATCAGCGCTGACGAGCTCCAGCTAACGAGCTCCAGCTAACGAGCCCTAACGAACGAGCCCTAACTAACGAGCTCCAGCTAACGAGCTCCAGCTAACGAGCCCTAACTAACGAGCCCTAACTAACGAGCCCTAACTAACGAGCCCTAACTAACGAGCCCCAGCTAACGAGCCCCAGCTAACCTGCTGTCACATCCATCTGCTAATTAGAAATATGATGAAGAAGATGATGATGATGATGATGATCTTCAACCACTTTCTTCAACAACACAGACCGGTTCTGACCCACTGGAGCAGAACCTTCCTACTGGACCTCCAACAGAACCAAGGCATCTGGAAAATCCTGGAAACCTGATTCTTCTTCATCACTGCCATGCATGATGAAGAGGACAGAACCGGGCCTGCAGCAGCTAGAGGAGGCCCGGTTTGACCCGCTCCGGTATTTTTGGAGCAAGCGTCCAGAAGAAGCAGCGGAGCAGCTGAGGGAAGCCCGGACCGCTGCAGATGTTTCCTCAGATCACCACTTCTGCAGCTCCTCACCGAACCGCCGGGCCTGAACACGCCCTCTGACCAGAACCACGGCGTTTTCAGCCCGGAAACCACGGAGCGGATCTATTCCGGGCCGGAGTGGCGTGACGAAGCCAGAATTTATCACCAGCTGCTGCGTTCCTGAGGGCTTTTACGGCCCGCCGTGTTCCAGAGCGGTTCTGTTCTATCAATAGAACCGGCACCGGCTCCGTTTTACTGCCTGAGGATCAGCGTTACTCACATCCTCCAAACCCGACCCACCAGTCAGAACCGGACCAGCAGAGTCAGCAGAGCGCCTCCAGAACCAAGGCCCGGCCGATCTCAGGGAAGTTCTGCAGAACGCCTGAACTTTGACCTTTAGGTTCTGAGCAGCTCCTCGTAACCACCAGGGTTCTGGTTCCGGATGGAATTGTGTGAAACTCCTGAGCAGTTTCATCTTTCAGGAGCTTCAGTCGGACGTCAGCGGAGACGATTCCCCCTGGAGACCCGATTTATCTCCTCCACAAAGACCAGGAGGTTCTGCCCGACCCGGGTCACGGTGGGTCTGCCCGACCCGGGTTCCAGCAGCAGGGAGACAGAGCCATGCAGTGTTCAGGTCTGGGTCACTGAGTAATGAGGAACCGAACCTGAAGCGGAACCGGGTCGGGAGGAACCGAGACTCGGATCAGGAAGTGAAACCGACTGAATGTTGGGAAACCAGAGAACAGATGAACCAATGTCTCCAAGTTCAACTGAACGGATCAGCACCAGAACACCGGCCGAAGGGTCAGAACCGGCCGCCGGGTCAGAACCTGGACCTGGTGAAACTGCAGGGTCTTTGGGTCGGACTCCTGACGGCATTAGTTCTCCCACAGCGACCCGGTCTCAGGGCGTCTCTGCTGTTCTACTGGTTCCGACCCGGTAGAACCGCCACCACCTGCAGTCGTTCTGGGCCAAACTGTGGAAATGTTGAGAAACATGAGTGTTTCTGTTTGGACCATCTGTTACCAGGAACCGGGCCAGCGGAGCTGCTGGTGGGGGATTACTGGCTGGAGGTAATCATCATGTCCACAGAGGGATTACACCGGGCCCGGCCCGGCCCGGCCCGGCCCGCCGCAGGCAGCGGGGGGATTGGACACCGAAGCAGAAAATTAATTTTCAATAAACAGGCCTGGAAGACGGGTCGGGGCAGAACCAGGAGGTTCCTGAAGGAACCAATCAGAGATGGGCTCAGTGGTCCAGTCTGGGTGGTTCTGGTGTGAGACCAGCAGAACCACCTACATTACAGGTTGCCTTTATGCAGATGATGTGGTTCTGTTGGTGTTGGTTCAGGGTCTGCTGGAGGAATCCGGACCAGGTGTGGCTCGGTCTCCAGGCCAACAGAACCAGAACAGAACCGGGTCCAAGCAGAAGGTTCTGGCTTAAAACCAGGTAGGTGAGCAGGTCCAATCATCCAGGAGAAGCTCCGTATCTGACGGGAGGTCCCGACCCGTCACCGTGGTAACCGTGGTAACCTCATAGGAAGGCGCCGTCCAGACGGGTCAGGATCAGGTTCTTCATCCCGTCCAATAATCACATTAGTAAATTAATTTGATTAAAGTTCAGCGGATTGAAGCTCCAGAGTTTAATCTGACAAACGGACCTGATGAGTTCAGAGAACTGAGCTCATTAGAATCAGAACCACCACGGATCGGCCCGGTTGGGTCCGACACAGAACCTCCAGGATTCTGGGATTTTTAACTCAATTCGTTCTGTCAGGGAGGAGAGAGAGAGAGAGAGGGGCGAGAGAGAGGGGGGCGAGAGAGAGGGGGGAGAGAGAGAGAGAGGGGCGGGGGACGGGGGAGAGAGGGGGA